AAAAGCAAAAAAACCTATCAAGATCAATTGAATATCTTTCAGATCTGAAAGTTTGGTATAAATCGGACGAGCCATCTCTGAGAAATCGCTTGCACAAAATCGGTTGGAAGAAAAATAATAATAATAATAATAACTAGAGCAAAGCTCGTTGCAGCAACGAGTGGTCTTCCGTCCTGTTTGACCGGATAGTCATTTTTAACGAATATGAGAAATAACGCCCCAATTTTTGAATCCTCAAAATTTATGTTTTAATGCAAAAATAAGCCATTTTTTGCTACTTCCGGTACCGGAAGTGACGACGACGGAAAAATTTATTTTGAAAACATAAGATAACAAAAACTTGTCAAAATGACCAAAATACGCGTTTTCCGACTACTTCCGGTTTAGCCGGAAGTGACGTCGTCGGACGTATTTTGACGACGCCCGTAGATTAAGCTTGACATTTTGAACAACTTTGCTTCTTTGATGTATTACAAATTCTCAATACTTTTTAGATATAAAGGAAATACATTATGGCCCCTCCAGTCCCTTAATTTTAGGGGCCAGTCCATTTTTCGAGATATCATTTGAAAGATCTTGGAATTCTACACTTCTTTTGTTCTATATTTTATAACAAAATATTTCAAAGTAAAAAGATATCATAGAAAAGGTTGTAAAAAATATGAAATTCGCGATAGGACAATTTTCGGGCCATAGCGAGCGCCGACGCGCGGCACTTCCAATAAAAATGAAAATTTTGCACATCTATAGACTTAGCATCATACCTGAAATTTTCACGTTTCCATCTATAACCATTTATTAGAACGTTCGCGGACAACCTGACCCTTCAAAAATCATAAAATCGACAATATATATGGACCGGAAGTGACGTCATCAAAACGGAAAAAAATGAATCAAGTTCAAGTAATGTTACATAAGTCCTGAGAGTTTCATGGAAATCCATCGAGCCGTTTTCGAGAAATCGCGTGCACAAAATCGGTAAGAAAAAAAAGAATAACTAGATACGATCTCGTTGCGAGCAACGAGTGGGTCTTCCGTCCAATTCTTGATGAGATGAGATAAGATTTTGATTGCGATTTTCATTCTAAAATAATGACTTACCACAATCTGTAAAAAGACATTGAACATTAAAGACTTAAAAAATCGGCCTTTGGCCCCTAACGGCCCCAAATTTTAGGAATCGGCCCTTTTTATTCATATCATCTTAAAGCTCTTAAGATTTTGAACATTTTTTGCTCAACAACTATTCAGAAATTCTTTTTCGTTTTTGAGCTATTAGCAAAAGAAATATTTAGGGGCCAACCCTTCAACTCCTTAATGGGGACGTTTAGCAAAAAATGAAAGGTTGCATATTGTTCAGAACATTATTTTGAACATCTTTTGTTCAATATTGCTTATCAAAATATTTCTTCCTTTCGAGATATAAAGCATCAAAGATTTGGCATTCTGGCCCCTTGTGGCCCCTAATTATGTACCATACGACATAAAAATCATAATATATAGTTGTAGATGGTTAAGATAAACATCTTTGCTTCAGTAATGTATAACAAAATATTAACTGAAAAAGAGTTATCAATTGAAGACTTCTGGCCCCTCTTGGCCCCTAATTCGAGTGCCCAGCCCCTTTGTCGGGATCTCATCTTAAAGATCTTAAGATTTTGAACATTTTTTATTCAACAACTATTCAGAAATTCTTTTTCGTTTTTTAGCTATTAGCAAAAGAAATATTTAGGGGCCAACCCTTCAACTCCTTAATGGGGACGTTTAGCAAAAAATGAAAGGTTGCATATTGTTCAGAACATTATTTTGAACATCTTTTGTTCAATATTGCTTATCAAAATATTTCTCCCTTTCGAGATATAAAGCATCAAAGATTTGGCATTCTGGCCCCTTGTGGCCCCTAATTATGTACCATACGACATAAAAATCATAATATATAGTTGTAGATGGTTGAGATAAACATCTTTGCTTCAGTAATGTATTACAAAATATTAACTGATAAAGAGTTATCGAAAAAAGACTTTTGGCCCCTCTTGGCCCCTAATTCAAGTGCCCAGCCCCTTTTTCTTGATATCATCTTAAAGATCTTAAGATTTTGAACATTTTGTGTTCAACGAATGTTCAGAAATTCTTTTTCGTTTTTGAGCTATAAGCAAAAGAAATATTAAGGGGCCAACCCTTCAACTCCTTAATGGGGACGTTTAGCAAAAAATGAAAGGTTGCATATTGTTCAAAACATTATTTTGAACATCTTTTGTTCAATATTGCTTATCAAAAAATTTCTTCCTTTTGAGATATAAAGCATCAAAGATTTGGCATTCTGGCCCCTTGTGGCCCCTAATTATGTACCATACGACATAAAAATCATAATATATAGTTGTAGATGGTTAAGATAAACATCTTTGCTTCAGTAATGTATAACAAAATATTAACTGAAAAAGAGTTATCAATTGAAGACTTCTGGCCCCTCTTGGCCCCTAATTCGAGTGCCCAGCCCCTTTGTCGGGATCTCATCTTAAAGATCTTAAGATTTTGAACATTTTTTATTCAATAACTATTCAGAAATTCTTTTTCGTTTTTGAGCTATTAGCAAAAGAAATATTTAAGGGCCAACCCTTCAACTCCTTAATGGGGACGTTTAGCAAAAAATGAAAGGTTGCATATTGTTCAGAACATTATTTTGAACATCTTTTGTTCAATATTGCTTATCAAAATATTTCTTCCTTTCGAAATATAAAGCATCAAAGATTTGGCATTCTGGCCCCTTGTGGCCCCTAATTATGTAACATACGACATTAAAATTATAATATATAGTTGTAGGTTGTTGAGATAAACATTTTTGCTTCATTAATGTATAACAAAATATTGACTGTAAAAGAGTTATCGAAAAAAGACTTTTAGCCCCTTTTGGCCCTTAATGTGATGAGTCAGCACTTTTTTTATGATATCATATTAAAGATCTCGTCATTCTGCACAAATATTGCTCAGTATGTTTTAGCAAAATAATTATACTTTAAAAGGTATTATGCAAAATGTCTCAAAATTTCAGTCATGATTCATGTCCTAATTTTTGACCTCTACCGAGCTTCCATACTAAGCACTTCCGGAATATTTGAAAGTATAGGTGCAAAACTATAATATGTTGTCTATCAGTCCTGAAAAGGACAGCATTCTACCTTTTGTCGTTTTTGAGTTTTTGTCCGGACAAAATGGTCACTAAAAATTCAATTAAAGGGCGATAACTTCCGACCGGAAGTGATTTTTCGGAAAAAAAAAAAGTATCAGGTTTAGTTCATGATACATCATTCCTGAAAATTTCAAGGCGATCCACTCAAGCATCTCTGAGAAATCGTCTGCACAAAAATGTGTAAAGAAAAAAATAATAATAATAATAATAATAAAAGTGAAAAAGAAACAATAGAATAATAGAAGGGTCTTCCGTTGGAGACGGAAGACCCTAATAATAGGTAAGAAAAAAAGTGAAAAAGAAACCGAAGAATAACAAGAAGGTCTTCCGCTGAAGACGGAAGACCTTAATAATAGGGAAAAAGAAACCGAACGAAAACAATAAGGTCTTCCGTTGGAAACGGAAGACCTTAATAATAATAATAATAGGGAAAAAGAAACCGAACGAAAACAATAAGGTCTTCCGTTGGAAACGGAAGACCTTAACTAGATGAGATCTCGTTGCGAGCAACGAGTAGGTCTTCCGTCCGATATTTCGATGAGATGAGATATGATTTTGACTATGATCTTTGTTACAAAATAATGATATCAAAACTTCTCTCACTTGATTAAATTGTTTTGATTAATTCAACAATATCAAATACTTATAGATGAACGTAATTTGGCCCCTAAATATAGAGGCCAGCCCCTTTTTCTTGATTTCAAATGAAAGGTCTCGTGATTTTGAAGATTTTTTTGTTCAGCACCTATTAAAACATTTCTTTTCGTTGAAGAGATATCTTGAATGAAAATATTAAGGGACCACCTCTCCAAGTCCTTAATAGGACTGTTTTTTTTTAATCTTCAAACGATGCATATTGTTTGGAACATTATCCAGACCATCTTTTGCTCAATGTTGCTTATTAAAATATTCCCCCTTTTCGAGATACAAGCCGTCAAAGATTTAACATTCTGGCCCCTTGTGACTCCTATTTACGTAACATATGATCAAAATTTTACAATGTATTGTTGCAAATTGTTAAGATGAATATCTTTGCTTCTGTAATTTATTACAAAATATTTATCATTTAAGAGATATAAATGAAAGACTTTTAGCCCTTCTGAGCCCCTGATTTGAGGGGTCAGCCCTTTTTCATGATTTCAAATCAAAGGTCTTGTGATCTTTGTGATTTTGAAGACTTTTTGTTCAACATTTATTCAGAGATTACTTTCCGTTATGGAGATATGTTGAATGGAAATATTTAGGGGTCACCTCTCCAAGTCCTTAAAGGGGCTAGTTTTCAAAAATTAAAAGTATGCATATTGTATATAATATTATACTGACCATCTTTTGTTCAATATCGCTTATTAAAATAGTTCCCCTTTTCGAGATATAAAGCGTCAAACATTTAGCATTCTGGTCCCTTTTGACCCCTAATTACGTAACATATGATCCACATTTTATCATATATTGTTGCAAATCGTTAAAATGAATATCTTTGCTTCTGTAATGTATAACAAAATATTGATCATTAAAGAGCTAGGGATGAAAGACTTTTGACCCCTCTGAGCCCCTCAATTTAGGGGTCAGCCCCTTTTTCTTGATATCAAATGAAAGGTCTTGTAAAACTGCACAACTTTTCTTCAATATGTTTGAACAAATTATGAATAGATACGAAGATATGAAACAAAACGTGTCATATTTTGTGAGATATTTCTGAGACATATTTTTGGCTCTACCGAGCATCGGCGCCATTTGTGCTAGAAAAATTTGGACGCCTGTCTGCAACTCAGCAAACCTTTCTTTACTTTCACTGAAAATCTTGAGTCAATACCTTAAGTCGTTCCGGAGGAGTTTCCAGGACAACCTGACCCCCTAAAATAGGAAAATCGTCCATATCTCACGACCGGAAGTGACGTCATCGACGAGTTTAATTTCCTACAAAGTTCAGATGAATATCTATCAGATCTGAAAGTTAGGTGAAAATCTGTCGAGCCATTCCCGAGAACTCGCGTGCACAAAATCGGTAAGAAAAAAAAGAATAATAATAGGGAAAAAGAAACCGAACGAAAACAATAAGGTCTTCCGTTGGAAACGGAAGACCTTAATAATAATAAGAAACAGAGTAAAAACAATATGTTCCCCAACTTCGTTTGGGGAACATAATTAATTTCTAAGAGAGCACTTGTACCCCTTAAAAGAATTGTTTGTAATACCTTGACTTAATACCCGAGTGACAAAAATCAATTTGAAAGATTTTATAAGGTTAATTGGAGACATTCAAATAAATAAATAAGACTAAAAGAAAGACAGAATTGAAAAATGAACAACTGCGGAAAATTGTGTTCACATCTGGAAGCAAGCAGTACATTACAGTAACGGGTGTCAATAAATGTAATCATATTTCTAAAGCAACGTAAAACCTCATCTGGGTCAGTGATAAAGAAAATCTCATTCTGACCGATCGAACAGGTAGAACATTCCATCGTGTCACAGATATAAATAGTGTTTGGGGAGTACACTCGGGGAATGTTACCGGTGAGCTCAAGACAAGAATTACAACATCAAAAAGCTTTCTGTGGACAATAGAACAAAAATTAGACTGATATTGTCATGAGTTCACATGATTGACAAGGACGGCCAAATCCTTTCACGGGCAGATAAACACTCTCACCAAAGAGGAATTAAAGAGTTACAGAGCCTCACTTATGGTGATAAATCTCAAATTCTACAGATCGGATCATATAGCAAAAACAGAATAAATGCTAGCAGGTTCCTGAGAAGCTAGTTAGCCAAACAATTTCAAAGGTAATCTATCAGAATACTTCTGATACGTAAACAGTTTAAAATCAAATAAACACAATTTTATTCTTAAAAATGTATCATAATTGCATATTTAACACGTTTTTTTTCTATTCTCTACCTAATGAAATAATATATTATGCAGTAAACCCAAAACGTGCTCTATACCAAGAACAGAAATCAAACGCAACAAATTATACAGAATATCTAGAGAGAACAAGTTTGGCGAAGTTTCTGACCTCTCGACAGGGGATGTTCGCTTCTCCATATCCTTCATTATAATACTTTATACATACAAAATAACAATCTAATGTGTATGAATGCAGGATAGTCAAAACTTAAGAAATTATTGTGGCCTAAGAAATATCTTATAAGACAATAAGAAATATCTTATAAGACAAATCTTTTCTACTCAAAAGAAATTCATTTAAATATTCAATACATTATTACTCCAATCAAACACATCCCCAAATGGGTGTTCACCCCACCTCTTGATACTCTTGATAGTACTGTAAATCATTTTCATGGGAGTTTAATTTTCGTTGTTTTCGAGGTAGAAAGAGACCCTCAAATTTATGACGATCACGAAATGTAAAATATCATATACATTACAATTAAACAATTTAAATACCAACCACAAAATCAAATCCCCACAAACCAAAATTTTTCCCCAAACCTCAAAAATTTGACGTTATTTAATCATTTTTAAATATAGATTTCACCCAAAACTCTGCCCGAAACCGGTAGGTAAAAGGTAGAAATTGATTAAAATCAAGAGTGAACCGAGCCAGGCACCCTGTAGTATCGAAAATTGCAACTGTCGTACCTTCATTTTTTTTTTATAGACAGTAATATGGCATTTTTTAAAACGTACTAATTTTAGTAATTTCTTATGATGGCATCGACTTTATTCAGACACAGCTACGAAAAAAACATAATACACAAAATACACCATTCTGACTGAAACAAAGCGTCCATAGAAAAAAAGAGCGGGAACGAGCAGTGGCGTATTAAATAGATTTTAATTTTTATACTTTCAAAATTTTGAGAAAATAACTGTTCAAATCAGTCTTTAAAAATTTTTAAAAAGTGACCATCTTCAAAGTAAATATTATAAATTAGTAACATATTAATATAATAAAACATCATCTTCATATGAAATAACCACAGCATATGATAATAGAGAACTATCTTCATATAAAAAAAACAGCATAATATAATAAAGCACTATCTTCATATAAAAAAACAGCATAATATAATAGAGCACAATCATCTTCATATTAAACACGAAAAAGATCCCTAACTGCTAAAAGGCCCTAAGTGCCGAGCATAGGACAAAATTTGTAGCCCTCCACCGGCAAGTGGTGGCGTCTCCATATGAGTGAAAAATTCTCGAGAGGGACGTTAAACAATATACAATCAATCAATCAATCATATTAAATAACCATAGCATAATATAATAAAGCACTTTTTTCTCATGAAATAGCCACATAAGGCAGCTATGGCCGGTTCCGTAGTAACATTTTGGCCTAAATGTAATCAGGGGTAAATATAGCTCTTGAATGCGTAATACTTCGACTGGGGGTACGGTCTTTGATGGAACGGGCCCCAGGAGTTTAATGATTTACTTATACAAAATGTTGAAAATGCTTTAACCCTCTTTTTTTAAATCAACTGATTTGGGGGAAATTTGCGTATTATTTTTTTATCATGACTTTAATGAGTGTGGATAGGAAACACTTTAAATTGATTTATTTTTAATGAAACAGTATTTTGATTTTCCTAAGATATCGTTCATATTAAAAGAAAATTTATGAATCCTCTTCCCGCGGTGTTTCTTACACATTAAAGAAACAATGATCACAAATTCAGATCTTGCATTTAATGCTACTGAACACAAATATATGGCATTTTAAAAACTGTTTGTAATGGAGTTCGAACAGATAATGCACTGGCACTCGTATATATATATATATATATATATATATATATATATATATATATATATATATATATATATATATATATATATATATATATATATATATATATATATATATTACGGTACAAGAGTCCATAATAAATTTTTTATGTAATTAAGAACCTACATTTCTTTTGTTGAATGTGGATATGTCCGAAGTGGAGCCAAATGAACGTATTTATGAAGAAAGTCTCCGCGAATTCTGGATCGGAATGAATTAAGGACCCTCTATACACTGATGAAAAATGTTTTTTGGACTTTGAGAAAAATATATAGCATAAAGGAGGATATTTTGAAATTATCTAACTCATTTTTAATATAGGGAGCGTGCCTTTTTTATTCAGGAAAAATTTTCAAAGAACATGCAGTAATAATATAGAAAAATTGCCTTTGCTAACTCAAATGAATAAACTATAGGTCAATAATGTTTTCAATACTCTATGTTGGTCTAATATAATGTCTAGAATACTTGGATCTATTTTAAATTATGTGATACATTTAAGATTATAATTTATCCTATCTATAAGTCAAATGGAGGGTCAGTCTAATTACACAAAAGTACCCAAAAAAAGGTGCAGTGTAGAGAGGGTCCTTAAATCGTTTTATGAATACTAGTAAATATTGTATGAGTTTATAGCCTTTGATTTTGTGGCGTTTAAAATTTCACTAGCATCATTAAGTTCAATGCGATTTAACCATTTGCAATGCATCAACAACAAAAAACTATGTGTATCTAAATGGCAATCATCAATGACTGACAATAATTTGCCATTTCTCCCTAATTTATTCACTTTAATCATCAAACCTTTCAAGACTTTGGTAATACCCGAAAATGTAGAATATGCACTGCTTTTGTTTTCTATAATGTAGAATATAGTTTTTGTAATACAAATGATGCTGTTATACATTTTTAACTTTTTTGGTACCCTTGTATATTGATAGGAAATAAATGAAGTCTATTTGGTGTTTCCAAAGAGCAAATGAAAAATTAAGAATGAGCCCGTCATGGGAATGCTAATCATCGTTTGTTGTTGGAATGAACTGCAGTCACTCGAAATGATTTTGAATGAATTAAAAAAAAACAAACATTAAATTAGATAGAAACATTTCGAAAAAATTTATGTTTAATTAAACGTCAGCATCAGTGTTTTCCTTAATTACACAAACACTAACTAAACACATACTGCAAGGACATCATTGTTGAAAACAGAAACTCGATTATTCTGATAAATATCATGTGGCAGTGCAAAACCATCACTATATTCATAAACGTGTGTTTGAGTATCTGATTTATTTTCTTATTATTTTTTTTTTTGGGGGGGGGGTGCACGGGGGGTATTTTTCATGCGATAACATGTGATACTAATTTTTTGAAATTCAAGTCTAGCGACAAGTATTAGTCATCATTTGTCTTGCATTCATTGACAGAGATCTACATATTAAAGCAGATAAAGACATAACACTCTTCGTTAAAGCTTCCAAAGGTTCGTGATCATAGAGAATATTTTCAATTTATCCTTAATAATCCCTTGTAACTGTTTAAGAATACATGTATGTTAGACGGTGCAACCGTTAGTGATGCGGAACAGATCTGGATGACTTCAAATTAGCTGCAAATACCTTAGCCCTCTCCGATTATTTTATTGATGTTTTCTAGAGAGGACTACAATTCCACAGCATCTCTGTAATGGTGCAAAATATTTTTTTAAATATGGGCGACCGCAGGCAGACGAAATAGTTTTTACATTCAACTTACTTCTAATAAGATTTTAATTCACTGTAAAATAACATAGCCCGTTAAACGCGGAAACCATGTAAAATAAATCTTTCTGCTTATCTGTAGTTTCACTCAACAACCATGACACTTCACGCGTGACGTACCGATACTTGCACTTGAAATTTAGAATAACTTGAAAAGCAGGTGTCGGTGTTTAAAAATAATTGTGATGAATAGTTTCACTAAACATAGATAAATAAAATCATACCATATTTTATTTTTTCGTAAACAGCGATATTTAGGCTAAAAATAAGGTAATTCCATAAAAATCCGCTCCCTATAGATCCTTAATATCATTGGCTGTCCCAAAATCTGACAAGGTCAGTAAACATGGTGGGTAAATTTAAGTTGTGATGTTGACATACACGAAAAATAACTGATATATGGGTTGTTATGTATATTTTTGGATTGATTTATGTCTTGAATAACTACAGTTTTGGAATAAGGAAAGACATGTTAATAAAATAGCTATTTACTGAAAATTAAGCCGAAAGCCTTGTGGGAGCGAATCGCTTCCGCAGCTGCAAAATTACGAAGATCCTAAGGGATTGTAGCCCTCTCCCAAAAAAAGGGGGATAGGGCTTCATTTTTGCAGCTAACCTTTAAAGTGCACCAGATGTGTACAGACAATTTTTCTTAGCATCAAATGCAAACAAGAAAATTTGCTGTGAACATGGCTGAAATAAAGACAAAAGTCAGACATCTCAGCTGTCTTGACAAATGGAGCAGATTGTTTGTTCACTTTAATGAATTAAAGGATATTATTTTGAAAAAAAATGAATATAAATAAAAAATCTAATCCAGTCTAATTAGGTGATTCTCACAAAGTTTAGAAAACGTATGTACATATTGAACAGATGACATGCCTGTGGGAAGCAATTTCAGAGGGGGGGGGGGGGGAGCACATCAAATCAGATAATGTAGGGACGTCTTAAATTGTACCATGCAAAAGATTCCTTGACAAGCTATAAAAATAATGTGGGGATACACTTATAGAGTACCTTTATATGCAAATAAATACTTGTTCATTATTCCTCCTTTTAACAAAACTCTTGCTTACTATTATTCATTTACTGATGCAAAAATTTTACAAATCAAAGTTTTGATAAATTTGAATCTTGAAGCTACGCAGAGGAGAGGGATCTTGTCAAAAACCGGAAGTGCTATTGATAAAGCATCTACCCGTAGATAAAACATAGGTTTACAACACGGGTAGTATCATCTTCACGTATGAGACAAAGAAATGAATAACACTAGCCAGAAAGATTTCCCTTCATTGCTTACATGGTATAAGAATGACATATACATAAACTGGGCAATCATTATTTATTGGGATTTATTGTTGTTTTCTTTTTTGTTTTGTTTTCTTTTGTTTTTGTTCCTTCTTTTGACAACAGCTAGTATTTATGTTTTGTCCTACTTGAAAATGATCCTACGGGTTAGTCAGGATTGAAATAATTATACATTACATCAATATTGGTCTAATCCACATAAAACATACGTCATAGGTCAACAAATCCCTTAAAAAATGAAAAACTCATTTACCCCCTTCTTCCTTTTGTACTGCCTGATTCTTTTTTTTTTACGTAAATGATTAATAAATCGACAAAATTCTCTTTTTTTAAAAATACAAACATGAAAACGATCACGTGGGAGCTCATCAATGATAAATAATTAAACCTTAACGACTGCTATATATTTTACAGAAATGAAGACATTAGAAGCAGTTGACTGCCTTTGTAGAGCCCAGCATTTAATTTGGCAAGTATATCGTTTCACAAAGACTGATTACAAATCTTATGATGATCAGTCTCTACCGAATTGGACAATATCTAGTTCTGTTACAGACATGCTACTCCCAATGTTTCGACCCATTCGATCCCAAAACTTTGCTCGTTAGCAATTATGAAAATTCCTCACGTCCAGGTTTTAACCATTTGAGAAATTCTGACATTTCAATGTGCATGATGATTTGTTTTAAGTTTAAGTTGTGTAGCTCAGTGGATTGGATACAAGAAGAAAAGACATGCCGGCTAAACTCAAGGTTTGTCATCAAGAATGTCAACAGTTTAATAACAGAAGGCCCAACCTTTCATGTAGAAAAGGAAGAGTTTCCAGTGGTAAGAAAAGATTTAAACATTTTCATAAAAACCAATTAAATTATATATTTAAGGAATCACAACTCTGGGTTGATTTTACTTCAGCACTTGGCAGCCTCTTGCTTAAACAACGCCTGTACTGAGTATGACATTTGTATTGGTGGTAAATGTGTACAGGTTTTAAAAGGTAAGATGCGAAGTGTATAGTTATGATTAGCAATGGCACCTCTTTCAAAATTGTGAATGCCATATCATCTAGCGTAAAACATGAACCAAATTAAATCATTTGAAACTTTGTCCATGATGCTCAGGTGACATAGATCATGAACCTCATGTTTATTTCAAGTTTCGGAATCCAATATAGATATGGTAATTCAAATTCATGTTGGTTGTTGGGAATATTACAGATTTTCAAGAAATTTCCTCCTTGACAACTGATCCCATCTCTGTTGATTACAAATTTGTGTTTGCTCTGCACACCTGATTTTTACTGTTTGAATGGATTTATGAGCTTTAATATTGTACCTTATTACCATTTATAATTTGTCTTTATTGTTCCAACTATCTGATTGGCTCAAATTGGATCACATGATCAAGTATAAAAAGTGTTACAGACTGGATGTCTCTATCTTAAAAATCTATAAACCTGCTGTTTCTAAAATTGAAAACGTTCTTCTGTGAAGCAACAATGGTGCTGACGTCACAATAGTTTTTATAAACTGGATGTTTCTAAAAACAGATACTATAGCTGGTTTTCATAAATGTGACGTCATAATGCAAATGACATAAAAATGCCTTGTATTAGAAGGTACTGAGTATTAAAAAGAAGGATTTTAAGACATTTCTTATTAATCGATAAAAAAAATAATAAAACAATTGTAGCCTTTTGATTCGGTACAATCCTTCGATATATAAACCTAAGAGAAAGCATATCGACCTCGCACTTCGTGCTCGCTCGATATGCTTTCTCTAAGGTCTATATATCGAGGGATTGACCTCATCATAAGTCTATATATGTATAATATTCCATACTTTAAATAGAAAAAGGATACAAGGATTGTTCCGATATTTTGAATGGAGACCCCACTAAAAAAGGACAAGATGGAGTTTACGTTATTTTCGCTGACACTCTGAGAGAGGTATATTGTGACATGACGACAGATGGAGGAGGTTGGACGGTGGGTAGTCTTTTAATTTTTTAATAATAAACAATTTTTGAAGAAAATTTTCTTAAGTAATGATTTCCGGAAAACGAAAATGAATATAAAGAACAAATATTGGATTACATGAATCCCATTGCTTGCTAAAATAAACAAACGTATGCATTTTTCCATTTTTTGACAAAATGAACACAATCCTTTTAAGATATCTGAACAAAATTAGAATGTGACAAATTGTTGATATTTAAGGAATCACTGTCTAGATAGCATAGTATGCCAGGGCATCAGCGATAGTGGGAAAAGAATAAAACTCTTACTGTGGCCTTCAACTCGATATTTAGATATATCGAGGACGTATACTCAATGAACAATGTTAATTTCCATTCCTACGTCGATTTGATATATCCTTGTGAGCTTGAGATAAAAGATACCACAGAGTCTGGCATATCTGTTTCGTACTTGGATATTTTACTTGAAAAAGATGTTAATGGTAATCAAACAACCAAGCTATGTGATAAACGTGATGACTTTAACTTTTCTATAGTCAGCTTCCCTTTCTAATGCAGCAACATAACTATCACCTGCATACGGAGTATATATATCATAGTTGATTCGATACGCAAGAACATGCTTACGTATGAATAATTTAATAGCATCCACAAGTCAATTTTTATATTTGATATTTACCACATGTATTATATACTGTCTTAAAGCATATTGAGAGTAGAAAAAGAAAATATAACATTTTGGGTTTCTAGTCATAAGTTGTTACTAAAAATAGACTGCTAAAAAGTAGTGCTTGCACTTTTTTGTGTGACCATTTTGTTTTTCAAAGTAGTTGGTTTTGAATGAACAGCAAATGCTTTGAAAAATTAGATCTTAAATCAAAATAATATGTTTGTTTGTAAAAGACACTTAATATGACACATTTAATTACTTTATTGTTAATTTCACTTCCTATACTACAATGCATCACAAGTAAAATTGTGTATTATTGCGCCAACGTTAACACTTACAAAAATGAAGTCAAACTTTTTAACTCTAAAAATTACAAGGATATAGGGAAAAATAAATTATCAAATAAATGCACTTTAGCTGAATTCTTTTTTGTGTGTGCAATAGAAGTTTAAAACATAATTCTTAAATCTTTGATAATTTCTCTGTGCTCTTGCATATAATGTTTAAAAGTACATGTTTTAAATGCATTGTATCTACCGGTAATCTCCGGCACTTGACAGTTATAAGATCACTTAAAATGCAAAATCTTAATCTTTTCCTGTAATAGTGTTTAGATAATATAAAAACAATCAAATAACACAGGCAATCAATGTAAAAAATGTAGTAATTTGATTTTCATGGTTAATATAAACAGATTTCAGAACTTTTAATAGATTTGACAAAAGTTCCTTGTGTGTCAATGTTTGTCTTTTTCCATCAGGACTCTTTCTAGAAAATGAGAACAGTTTTTGTTCAAGAACATTCTGCTTTAAAACATTTTTACGGTACCGGAGCTGGGCTTTCAAAGCATTGACTATGTCTGATGTGCGTCCATACTCCTTTATTCTCAATTTACACTCGCGGGCTGTTTTCCATAAACCATAGAAAATAATGTCATCACTCTGTTTTTCCAGTTGTGCTTGTTTTCTTCTCTTTTTTTCAGCTCTTTTTCGGAAATCTTCTTGTTTCTCCTCTCTCTGTCGTTGAATTTCTCCTTTTCTTTTTGAGAATAAATATCTTTCAGTGGAAACGGATTTTCTAGCTTCCGAAATAAGGTCTTCTATATCCTCTTTGTTTCTTATTTTCCATGTGGATGTCTTGTTCATTAGGAAAAGTGTGTAAGTCTCAAGAGCCAGAGCTGATATATTAGGTTTCGCTCTTAAAATTTGATCCATGTACGCGAACAGTCGCTCGGAATAAGAATTATGTTTGTCCACACTCTTAGTAGCCAGTGAGAGTTCCTCAGTAAAAGTTTCATATTTACCATCTGGCAAGTGGTCTTTATAGACATGCAGTACTACTTTCCGGATCGCTGGTAACAGGACACGTAGAATGATTTCAACATCAGTATCATAATTAGACTCTTTGGTCAGGAATTCAAAAACTCTGTCGCCATTAAAGTCTATTCCTGTTAAAGCTGGAAAGGTTCCCTTTATAAAATCAGCCAAATAAGTTGATAGATGGAGATAATTTTGTGTCATATCTTCAATTGATGTGTCCTTGTTCTCGAGAATATTCCAAAGGGGTGTTGTAATCATCTTTGAAATCAATCCCAGGGCGTTCAGTCCGGCAACATAAAAAGAAACTTTAAGATCTGAGAGAACAGACTTCAGAAGCCTTTTGTTTTCAATATCTGATTTCTCCAGAAATTCAGTCATGTGAGGATGAAGAAAGTAAAGGCATGCAGCATTTTGAAATAAAATGTTGAATCTTTGGCCCTTAAATGGCTGCAGAGGAAGTGAGATCATTCTGTTTTCAGTAAGAAATGGCTGCATGTATGTTCGGAAGGCCCCATAACACCCACACTTTTCATCACCTCTTCTTGCAAAAGCCTTGCATGCACTTCTTATTAAGCGAAAACAACCTGATTCATCAATTTTAGAGAAATTCTCATCAAAAATTGGTGGGTTTCCATCGAAATTCCCCTTTTCTGCTTCACATAATCCCTTCTGGGCCGCATTCGCCATATGTACCAGGCCATGAACACCGCAGAAGAAATTGTTCAGTCTGCTGACTGTTTCTTTGCCAACATCATCCAATGCGTGGTAATCTTCCCGTATCTGTGGTAGCAGCTCTTCTCTGTAACTTTCTAATAGCTCATTAAACTTTAATTCTGTAGCGGCACGATCACTCATCGTATTTTGGATATTGCAGATAATTTTGTTTCCAACTTTCTTCTGGGTTTACTCGTTGTTGTCTGAAATATCCTGCAAAATTTCTTTGAATGTGTCCAGTGTGTTTTGTGCTGATTTTGTGGCCATTTCACGAAGTCCTAATGCAAAATAATTACCTTCTTCATCACGAACAGAAAACCCACCATATTTAATGCCAAACTTCGATGTCTCATCTGTGTGCAACGTGGTGTTGATTTTTTCTGACAGTTCTTCTTGTAGTTGTTTTTTGGCTAGACAGAGTCTTTGGATATTCATATTAACAACTGTTGATGGAGAAGGTAGTCGGTCAGGTTCTTTTCCTGCTAACTTCAAACAGGTTTCTATGGCTGGTCCTAAATCAAAATATGAACGTTTATGTAAAATGTGCATTTACTTTATGTTGGTGCATACATCAAGTCAACAAATCAGGAAATTTTTTTTTTTTAAAAACTTACCAATTTTAGTTGATGGGACATTGTGTTCGAGAAGAGAGTACACACACAAATGAAGTTCTGGAGTGAATGCTTTCTTTTCTTGTCAAATAGATTGATGACTTTGGTGTCAGTCAAATCATGCAGCTGCTCCATGAGATAGGAAATTTCATCATCCTTTTCCTTAAGGGTATGCTGAGGATCATTGACAGTGATTCTAAGTTGGTCATTTTCAGTTTGTAGCTCATTTAGAAGTGCTTGGTAGTCTGCTTTAGATGTGTCATCTGATGTTTACAATTTTGTACACTTAGTTTTCCAGTAGTCCTCTCTCCGTTTAGTGCGTTTGACAGCTTGATTTGATGATTTCAGTTTCTCATGTAGCACTCTATTTTGCTTTATCACATCTTCTGATTTTATGTTGAGTGTTTGCATGTGAGATATTGTTTCAGTCAACTCAGACTTTAGTGCTATTTTCTCCTTAGTCAGATTCTGGTTTTCCATGAACACTGAAATGGACATTGCAGTGGAAAAGGCATCCCCGCTAGAACTGATCAGATATGTAGCTTCGGGCATTTTGGGAGTCACTGTATTTGATACTTTAGGTGGAGCAAATTTTGTTCCTAGGAACTCTGTAAGCTTTCTGCTACCTTCAGATTTAGATTTGTTTTTTCTGAATTTTTCATATTCTGACCACAGTCGCCTAATAGCCACACTAATTGATGTCGGGTTACAGTTACCAGAATGTGACACAATCCATTGGGCAGTTTCGGATACGCCATGTGCCCTTTTAAAGTTAATGACATCAGAATTTAAAATCCTGGGAGTATCACAAGACATCTTATGGTCAGCTTGTTGAATAATAATAGCGATGAGACAAATTTTCCACCAAGTTCTAGAAAATATTTAAATTATTTTTAGGGATTTCAAAATATTTATTTTCCTTAGTAGAAATTCGAGTGCATTATTTGAAGGATAGTGGAGTAGTCAGAACATTTGTTTTTAAATCTCGTCGATAGCGTATTTATAAATCAAAAACCCTTTTCATAAATTTATGTAAAAAATACATCAAATGCCTATACTAAATAATTTTTACTTTAAAATTATCTTCTTTCGTATTTATAGTTTTTACAACATCTATATTTACCAAGACCTCCAGAGCATACCCCCCCAACCCCCAAAAAAATTGTTTTGTCCACTTTCATGAGTATATTGTAATTTAATTTTTCTTGGCATTTTAGCCTTCCTGAAGTCTGAAATATTAAATATTTCATTTATCTGCGTAACTATTTATTATTTATTTAAACATGTTTAAAATTTACCTGTTAACTCTCTTTTTTCAATAATGCATAAGTCAGTGTAATTTTACTAATTCATATAATCAAACCAGGTACCGTTTGTTTTTGATTTTTTATCATCTTGCTTTTTGTTGAATTTATGAATTATTATTTTTTCTTTCTGTTTTAAAAAATTCATTGAAGCATTTTATTTTTTAAAATTCCTATGTCAAAAAAAAAAAAAAAAAAAAAAACTTCGGGTAATACACGCTATTATTGTATTTGCTTTATACAAAATCATTGGAGAGGCGACAATATCAGTTAAAAGAATTTAATAAGGCATTATTTGATAATAAAAAAAAAATTCCCCATGGGGCACCCCATATTGAAGCTATGAAGAGTTGTTCCCCTTAAGATATCCTTGGATACTGTAAACAAACACC